AGACGAAGCCTTGGCTGGGATGATCTAGTTGGGGATGATCCTGCTTTGAGCAATGGATTGGACTAGATGACATCCTGAGGTCCCTTCCAACTTCAATTTTCTATGATTCTATCAGTGAAAGGTATTGTAATGACTAATGAGTCATACTTCCAGAGTGTATCTCAAAAAGGAAAAATTGCCACCACTTTTCCAAACACCTCAAGATTGGAGCTAGCAACTAATACCTGCAGAGAGGGTTTCAGGAGAAAATCCCACCCTCGCAATAGAGAATTCAGGATTACCAGCTGCTGTCCACGTTGCCAAGTCAAAGGAGTCAGGGAATCATTTCATTTGCAAGGTTTGGAATGAAATAAAGTAATGGATTCTCCCTCCAGCTTAAGGGACAGCTTTGACTGGAAGAGACTTTGATTGACAGGTGTTCCACCAATGAAGGAATTTTAAATATCTGGCCTGTAAGATGCATGGAGTGAGGAAGGTGATAAAAATGAGTTCTCTTGCTCCTCTGTTGGCCAGATGTCAGACAGCTCCTCTGTAAATTTCTCTCAGTCCAGCTATGAGTGTTATAGAGATTTTAAATCAATCCTGAACTATACTGCAGGATAACCTGATTTTGTAGCTTAGTCTGGGCTGGCGAATAGCCAGCATTAGAATAGGATGGGTTAAGGCAGGCAGCTTTACAAAGTACCAAAAAAAATAAATGAGAAGAGGAACACAAAACCAGAGGCAAGACTGATCACAGAAGAAACACTTGAGGAATTTTTATTTGTTTTTATAACTTAGGGACAAATCCATTGCAAGTTTTCATCCCTCAACTGACTGTATGAGCTGAGATGCTTACACACACTGAGAAGCTCCATTGGTATTCAGCCGGACCACCTCATCTGAAAATTGTTCTCCTAAAGCCTGTTAAGCAATTTTGGTCATCTTGAATGCTTTACCTCACAATTAAAAGCAATCATTTTAGAAACAACCTCAGAGGTTCCCTTCAAAGAAATGTAAGCATGTGCTCAATTAAAATTAAGAACTGTTTAAATACCCTGCTGACTCAGGGTGTAGGCTGGCTCTACAACAATGCAAGATTAAATAGGTTGAATAATAGCAGGTGCAGTCCTGTAATATTACTGGTTCTGTAGACACTCGTGTGGCATGGATGGATAGCAAGCTGCTATGGGGATCTATGTTGTATTTTTATGATCGTTAACACAAACAGTGACAAGTACTTCTATAGTCAGATTTTGAGAGTGAACCCAAGGTCCTAAAATGTACTTGTATTTCAAAATACAGTATGTTGATAGTTTTTTTAAAGGCTTTTTTATTCCCTGGGAAAGAAAGACACTGTAAACTCTTATTGTATTAATTATGATTATATATAATTCGAGGGGCCCAAACAAACCCAGTAAAAGGTGGGAAATTTAGTGTTAATGACACTAAAAATGACACTTCTTCATCAAAAGCCCTAAGTAATGATTTGGCATGAATGTACAGTATCTGCGGTACCTATAAATTTTAAGAGGCTTAATTCCGTTTAGAGGCTAATTCCATTTTAAGAAAAGAAAATGTTGCCAACTACAGGGCCAAGAACACAACAGGATTGCAGTTATATTTCTAGTGACCCCAGAAAAGCTGAACTACATCCCCCAAATTTAACTAAATGGACTCTATTAACAATATGCCAGATTTCAGAATATGTTTGCTTGTACTGCAGCTATGGAGATTGTTTCCCATTACAAACACTTTTTTATGGAAACATCTCAGCAGCCTGCTCCACACACACATTTTGCACATGTGTATTTGAGCACAGGGCCTGGATAGTCCAAACTTTGTTAACATTTCACACATTTATGTGTAGTGCTCATGCATTCTCTGTAAAATACAGTGCATGGATTATAATTAGTAAACTTCAGATGCATGATATATGATAGTGGTTGTGAAATGAATGTCAAGAGTTTAATATGAAAAAACAAACACTATGGCATAGCTGTTTCACTAGTATATGCAGATGCATCCTTACCCTGGGTTTCCACAGACATAACTGACACACAAGGTCTCACACAGACACACTACACCAAGTTATTCAGGTGCAGTATAATAAATGTTTTGTTATTAAACAGGCTGAAAATAAATTACATGTTAAATTTGTCTTAGACATGAACGCTTAGCCTTAGTATATGTGTTGTTCTCTTTCCTTCAAGAAATACTCTCAAAGTGTGAATTATGTACCTACATAAAATGATTGGGAAACTCTTTTTAGCAAGTATTTCCTCAAAAATTAGAATTAGAGATGAACAAAATTCTGGTCAGTCAGTATCCTTGATAAAATACTAAAGCATTTATACTTGCAGTCCTAGTCTTCAAGCCAACAGCGAAAAGCCTAGCAGTACATGTTTGAAGGGAGCAAGGGATGTACTTCCTTATTAAAATTCAGATGCAAAAAAATTTAACATGGTGTATTTTTAAGCATATAGAAAAATGTTATTAGCTAATATATTTATAGCTTATAAGAATACTGACTTTAACAAAACATCAGTTGTTTATGTTTTCAATTACTGTGAAGGTAAGCAGGAAGTAGCCCAAATCTTCTACAGCCATGCATTTTTTAACATACAAGTTTGTAAGTTTAAAGGGAAAAGTGCTTAGTACTCCTATTACTATGCCAGCGCTGGCAAGTCAGTGAAAGATGAAGGAAGCAAGCAGTGTTTAGGATTTCACAAAACATCTGTTCCAGAAAGCTATAGGTAACTCCTATACCTTTTCTGCTGTTCTTTTCCTACTGATCATTTTCAGTAAGTTGGGTTTAGTGCAAGAAATCCACCTGCACTTGGGCAGGTCAGGATCCAGTATATCTGTAACAGGCAATGACAGAAAACTTACACTGAAAAGATTAAGATTCTAAAGAGGAATTGGAGAAGGCCTCTGGAATCTATAATACCTTTTTCAAATCTCATTTTTCCATTGGATTTCACGAGAAGCGGCACACTGCTGGCTTGTGCAAGACACTCATTCCTATCTCCAGAGACCCACTACTGGTAAGGACACTCTCAGATGGAGTGGAATTTAGGACAGCAGAATATTCAGCACCAAAGTAACTGCCTCTTGGAAGTGCCCAGGGAATTCCATCAACAGAATAGGATCAGTTGCCATTGACATTGTACATGTTTTTTAAACCATTTTGAAGTTGTAACAAACTTGTTGATTAAACTGCATTCACACAGATTCCAATAAGTTCTTACGGAGCCCACTAAGTTGTAAACTCCATTCCATACATTCCTATACAACAAATCCTTTGTGACCTAAATACAATGCTTGGTTACTAGCGTACAACCTCAAAGATACCATTCACTTGTTTAAACAATTGTCCTGCTATTGTCTTTATTGTAGAATGCTAAAAAAAAAAAAAAAAGCCTTTAGTATGAATCTTGTTTGGATAATAATAATCAAGGCATGTCATTTTAAAAAAAATAACAATGACAACAAAAATACAAGGCCTAATTCCTCTTCCAAGAATGTATTATTCTAAAGACAAAGACAATCACTGGGAAAACCAGGTAATGATCAACTCCCAAAGCAACATTAAATGCATTCTTGGTTCTCTGAAGTATACAGGAACTGTTTATTTCTTCATGCGCTCAGAGGCAATCTGGATTCTCATTTAGCTATTGCTGTGGTAAAGTGAAAGGAGAGCTACAGCATCCTGGTAAATTAATTATACCTCTCCCCTGCCCCCACCCCTCCCCCTCATTTTGATTTCAAATTTGCAATGGCACATAAGAAAAGCAGTTGTATTGTGATTTTTTTCTAATAGTCTATTTTTATTTAATATTAAGAGACAGCTTCTTACTCATCAACAATTAAATGTAGGAGATCTGTTTTTTCCACACATCTTGCCACCAGGGTTAGCATTTTGAATTCACTTGGGCATATCTACATGTTCATTGATGTGCTTTTGCTAATGTGCATTAAATTTAGTACCTCCATTGTGAGGTACTAGAAAAAGGTGCATTAGCTTATTTCAGAGGTTCCCAAAGTTTTTATGCTGCGGTCCAGCAAACCGCAGCCTAGAAGTGGACATGGCCCGGCAAACTGCAGTCCTGCAGTCACAGCCAACCGTGGCCAGAATTTCCAGCTGGAAGACAGGTCCAAGGAGCCCCCACCCCTCCCCCTCATTTTGATTTCAAATTTGCAATGGCACATAAGAAAAGCAGTTGTATTGTGATTTTTTTCTAATAGTCTATTTTTATTTAATATTAAGAGACAGCTTCTTACTCATCAACAATTAAATGTAGGAGATCTGTTTTTTCCACACATCTTGCCACCAGGGTTAGCATTTTGAATTCACTTGGGCATATCTACATGTTCATTGATGTGCTTTTGCTAATGTGCATTAAATTTAGTACCTCCATTGTGAGGTACTAGAAAAAGGTGCATTAGCTTATTTCAGAGGTTCCCAAAGTTTTTATGCTGCGGTCCAGCAAACCGCAGCCTAGAAGTGGACATGGCCCGGCAAACTGCAGTCCTGCAGTCACAGCCAACCGTGGCCAGAATTTCCAGCTGGAAGACAGGTCCAAGGATACCCTTAGGTTACCAAACCCTGGGCTGCTGCAGGCCCTGCAGAAGGAGTTGAGCCTCTCTGCCTGGCTCTGGGGGGCCACGGTTTGCCAGTTTGCAGCCACCTCCTGTCCGGCAGCTGACCGTGCTGCAGACCTGCAGCCAACCCGCTGCAGCCTGGGGATTGAGAACCGCTGGCCTATTTTAATGCACATTAGCAAAAGTGCACTATTTTTGTGATGCTTTAATGTGCATTAAAATCTGCTAATGCACATTAAAGTGCATATGTAGATGCATGCACCCACTGTATCAAATATCTCCAGCATGAATTCAAGCAAGATTTTGAGCTACATGCCTCCTTCAAGGTATAAGTTATTTTAATTAGCAACTGCTTTTAAATGCTCAGGGAAGAGAGCCATCTTAGTGGAGCTAAACTCAGCCCCAAGTAGACTGACCTGCATCATGAAGAAAGCATGGCACAACCCTCCAGCTTAAATGGGGCACATCAGAAGAGACTGGCCCTTCTGAGGCCATTTTGGAGCTGCCCGGCAGCAGGGAGAATACGCATGCTCTTCACTGTGTTGTAGCAGGGTGCATCCTGTTTCCTTCTATCCACTCTGCCAGCTCCACCATCTGGATGTGGAAAGGGTTGAAGTCTAGGCCTTGCCTTCTCCTGTTCACCAACCCCTTAGAAGTCCGTGTCCTGCAGAACCTGAGGAGAGATCAGTCCTCGTGTTCCTCCACATGCAAGATGGGGGTTAGATTGAGTGTTGCCTACTCTTATGAGGGGGTAGGGAGCACATGAGAGGCATCTTCTTTGTACACTGCAGGGTTGGCAGTGTTGTAGGAGCAACAAGGCAAATTAACATAGCTCTCTCTAAAGGCAAGCCCTCATTTTCTCCCCTGACCACCAAATTGTTCCTGAAGTCCTGGCCTTGTGGGCTGGAGATAATCACTCGCTAGGACAAATCCAGACTGTAGGTGGCCAATTCCTGCTCTACTGCATGCCTCATAGACAGGTCAGGGACCAAATCCTCCCTAGGATTTAGACGGGGCATGCTCTTACTCCGATTGAAATCAATTATCCCTGGCTTCAGAAGAAGTTGAATGAAGCTGAAAAAAGTCTGACAATATAAAGCATATCAATATAAATAGCAAACATTATTATACACTGATGTGCCAGCCATATTTTGCTCTATAATTCTTATTTCCTGTGGTCTATAGCAGGGGTAAATGCTCGCTAGAACTGAATAGGGAGTACAGGATCCAGGCCCAGATAGTCACTTTCCCTCTTCAGTTTGTATTGTTAAATCTACATAAACCATGGCCTCCTCTGTGGTCAGCCTTCAAGAAGAAATGCAGCTGTCTTCATTGCTGTCTTGATCTCTCTCTCTCTCTCTCTCTCTTTCTCTCTCTCTCTCAGAAAAGAACAGTTATTAACCCAGCTGCTAAGGTAATTTAAACCCATGCTGTCAAATAAATTGGCCATGCAGTTTCTGAGATTTTCTTATTAAAAACTAACCTTAGGGACTTTTGAGTTACTGTTCATACTACTATTTCACCACTTTGACTTAATATTTTATACCTCTTATTGACTTCTTCCATTCTCTTTTTGCACACTTTACAAAGCTAGTTACAACTTCATTGTGCCATTTAATTCTTCTTTTTTCTTCTGTATAACACATTTCACCAAATCCAGTGCATTTCTATTATGTAAGTATGGGCTAACCAGCTCAGTAATTTTGTGTACTGTGACTGGTGTTCAGCTAGCATACTTGGCAACTACAAGTTTTATATCCTGCAAAGCTGGAATGTAGAGTAGCTAACTGAACTTTGGATCTGGGTATGCTATGTATGGTAATTATTTCATAAAAGAGTTGGTCTGGGAAAGGAAAATAAGGAGGGTATTGAAACAAATATGCTGCTTAGGACAACTCAGCTGGAATCCAATATGGTAAAGTAGGTCAGGATTCAGTATGTATTGTAAATATGAATTATGGGTCACTGTGGTCAAATTGTTTGTGGGTCACTGGGCTAAAGTGGAATGTACAAGAGAAGGGTTCCAACCAATCAAACACTGAAGAAACAAATAGCCTCTAACAAAGACACTGAAGAAGTCTGTGCCTAGTCAACCCACACTTTTTCCATATAGGCTGCTAACTCAAATATTCACTTTTTAGACAGTAGTTTACAATAAATGAAACTTTGCAAAAGGCAGCGGCGGCAGCAGCAGCAGCTCTAACTTGCTTGAATAGCCACCATAGTGGTACGTTATCCCCTGAATATGATCTATGGGCGTTTCCAAGGGCCTTGGCTTTACATTAGGGTTGCCCGCTCCTCTTTTCCCCTTAGATACATTTATTGACACATTTTCCTCCTTTTTAAAATTCCGCTTTAAAAAAATTGCCATGTGACTGGAAGAATTTGTATTGATCTCGTTCTATATTGGTCTCAGGAGAGATGTATATGACTGGGAACAGAAGATTTTTAGGTATCATTCCCAGTTCTACCAGTGTCTTGTTATTTGAACTTCAACAATCACTTCACTTCAGTTTCTCTGCCTCTAAAATGACACTTAACACCTCTACCTCAACTCAGAGATTGGGAGAGTAATACAAAGTGCTTTGAGATCTACTGAGAGAAGACACTGTAGATATGCAATAGAATTATTAATTCTGGCATTTTCTATCTTTAAGGTCCTTGTCTTGCAATCTTAAGTTTCCATTACAAATAGTACTTTTATTGGAGAAAAATAAATCATGTGGAACAGTGGTCACACAGAGAGCAAATTCTTTATATCTAAAGCATAGACCAGTGATGCTCAAGTTAAGTGATAATAGAATAAGTCTCAACATTACTCTGATGATTATTGGAAAATATACGTAAAACCTACAGCAAGTGCTTCTTATTCTGCTCTCATGACTGGTCCACATAAAGAATCACAATTGAAGAGGTAAAAACACAGAGAATAAGGAATAACAGCAGAATAACACCTATTCTGTTATTCCTATTAATAGGTTATCATCATTCTGATTTCTGCTCGCAGTCATAGGTTGTTATTTTCTGTGTGGAACAGTCATGCGAGCAAAATCAGAAACAGACTTTCTGTGAATTTTACAAGTATTTTTGGGAATGTTGAAATTTAGTTGTCCTGGATCCTGGAGGTGAATCCTTTTGCCTTGCAGTCCAAGCCCCTCCTCTCAAATCTCCCGATCTTCTCCATTTTAGCCCCTGGCTCCTGTTTTGGTCTCCATACAATCTAAAGATATTTTACATTCTAGTTGCATTACTTCACTGAGGAAGGAGTCCCTGGCAGCACAGAAGAGAGTCTCCATGCCACCATATTTAGACCCTAACACCACAGGAAGCCTAGATTGTCAGGAGGAGCAGCTGTAAGAAGAGTTCAGCTCTGCCCCGGGCCCTATGATGGAGCAGGCCCCATCAGTCTGTGGAGATGGTATACGGGCAGCCTGGTAAGCACCTGGGAGCTTTGTCAATGTGAAGCACGCCCAGTATAGACAAACTATTCACATAATTTAGCTGCCTAAATCCAGGGACCCTCTGAGCATGTGCAAAAGCATTCCTCAGGGAGACTGCCCCCCTGCTGGATCTCTACACCAAATTATGGAGACACGAGAATGTCTCAGTGATAGTCTTAGAAGATGTTTTTTTTCTTTTACATGGGCTAATATATTTTTCCTTACAATCTTCCTTCAAAATTGCTGAGCTACTCCCAGTGCTTCCAATAATTAATGAACAGTCTAGTAATTGAGTTGTTAAGATGACCTTCTCAATCCATGCTTCACAATGTACTTTACAACAAGCCTTGAGTGCAGAGGCTGCTCCCACAGTATAAACCAGGGGCTGGCAAAGTCTGGCCCAGGCCTGTGGCAGACTCCATTTCCCAGCAGCCCCTGCCTGCACCACTGTAGTCAGTTTCCATGGAGATCCTAGCAGCAGCAGGGCTGTGACAGCGCGGGGCCAGGCTTTCCATGGAGACCAGCCCCAGCAGTGCTGGCAAGGAGCGTGGTTGGGCTCACAGCTGCTCTGGGGCCAGGATCTTGCAGTGGTGACAGCGTGATCTGCAACCAGGGCAGAATTGCAACCCTCTGCCTGCACGCCTTGGGCAGGGGCAAGTAAGCAGCAGGTTGCAGCTCTGCCCCAGCTCCAGACCATATTTTCACCACTGCAAGATCCCAGCCCCAGCCCTGGAGCAGGTCCCTGCCCAGCCACACACCCAGCACTGCTGGGGCTGGTCTCCATGGAAACTGACCACAGCAGCGTCGCCAGGGGCTGCTGGGAAATGGAGTCTGGCTGCCAGCCGTTTCCACCATTTTGCTCACCTCTGGTACAAAGGATAAAACTGAAGCAGTGAAAAACTAAGTGACTTGCCCAAGGTCATCCAGTGAGGTCGTTGGCAGTGCTAACCTTCTCGAATTCCAGTCCTGTCTGTAAGCCACTCGCCCATGCTCTGGCCATCATCTCTGGCACATTTTACAACTACTGAAATTTACCATTCTATGTATTTTGTGGGTGCAAAGGTGAATGTTTTCAAGTATGTGTTCATCTTCTTCTAAAGGAGATGTTAGGAAGAAGTCAATATTTTGAAGAGAAAAGGTATTCCCAGTGCTAAAGTAGCCATTCTGCTAAGCTACTAGCTCATATTTTACCTTGATGAGTATTACGTGACAATCAGAATTTTATTACTTAATAAACACCATTAAAGAGGACATATATTTCTTTATGATTTTGGAAGAAGGGTTGTAAAGGAATAAAAACGTATCTAATTTATGATTTTTTCCATGAACTCGTTTGAATTACGTTTCATTTAAGTGAAGTTGCTTGGTAAGCTAAGGGATAAGGGAATATGTCATTTTAATTTAATTAATATACCATGTTCACTAGTTTCCTCTATCATATAGAAAACCTCAGTTGTTTAATATGGAATCTTTACTCAGAATTTAACGATTCCACTTGTCTACATAATGTGTGCATTTCTCAAAGGATTCATCTGTTTGCTGTAACTGACGCTTAGATCACCTAACCCACTATTTTTATTTACAGCTTTTCCTCTATGCTCTCTTCTCCCTCAGAACAGGCAGCAATCATTTTAAAGCAGCCTTACGGCTCCACTAATTTATGTTGGGGGCTGAACTGTCCCCCAGCAACCATGGAAATTGTGGGAGAATCAAGGTGAAGTCAAATCACTTTTGTCCCTTATTCCCACAGGTCTGTTTACTGATGCGGTACAGGAAGAAATTGTTTCTTTCTTTGCTTGGCAGCTCAAGTCACACAGCTACAATACCTACCATTAATGTTTAGCTGCAACTCTCAATTTTCCCACATATAGGGAGTTTTTTGCCTTGGTAATTGTATAGAATCTTCTTTTTAATGATCTCAGAAATAAAAAGGGAACCTTTTAACAGGATTATACTACAAGTATTTGATTGATTTTTGCAGATATAATCTGTACCAATTTCAGCCAGTAAATTAGATAATCGTTCACTTGATGAGAGGTTAATTCTCTCTCTCTTTTAATAGAACTTCTTTCATCTGGATTTTGAGAGAAATTTATTTTGGTTGTAATCACTGTTATTATTCATTGTATTGTGAAATTCTCTCCAGTTGTCTATATCCCGACTTGGAGATACAGTTTATATTTTTCTCAAACTAAGTATTTGATCTTTCAGCTTTTAATAATCCTCACTGCATTGAAGATCATAAAATTACTCATACAAGTAAGATTTGAAGATTCAGGCAATTGTGGGGTTGTGCTTTTTTTTTTTTTTTTTTTTGTAATTTCTTTTTGTTTAATTTGTTTTTATAATGAGCTCGCACTACTTTTGCAGCACTGCAGCTGTTATATATTTGGTATTAAGTCCACATTTGTTTGTCTTGCCTTAATGAAGGTTCCCACTGAATTACTAATTGCAAGACCTCAAGGCTGGTTTTTCT